AAATTAGGGCAGGAGAAAGACCAAGACTTGAAGCCAATAATTGATTTTCTAAAAGCAAGTGTTGTGCACCCTGCTTGGAAGAAGGTGTCTAGTCTAAGCCCTGTGACAAAGAACTATTGGGCACAATGGGACCAGTTGAAGCTTGAAGATGGTATTCTTGTCTGTAGATGGGAAACTACAGATGGGAATATGACGACCTGGCAAACAGTTATACCGAGAAAGTTACGGGAAGTTGTGCTGAGTCAATCCCATGATAGTTTAACAGGAGGACATCTTGGAGTTAAGAAGATATTGAGTCACCTATGGTAGAGATTTTACTGGATAGGTATGAGGCAAGATGTGGAAGAATGGTGCAGGACCTGCAATACATGTTGTGCTAAAAGGTGACCCAAGTATAAGGGACGTACTCCAATGAAGTTATATCAAGTTGGTGCACCAATGGAAAGAGTAGCCGTCGACATTGCTGGTCCTCTGCCCCAAACTCGTGCTGGAAACAAGTACATTTGTGTGGTGATGGATTATTTCACCAAGTGGCCTGAGGCATATTCAAAACCAAATCAGGAAGCTACAACTGTAGCTTTGGCTATTAGTGATTCCTTCTTCAGGTTTGGTATGCCATATGAAGTGCATTCAGATCAAGGCCGTAACTTTCAATCAGCTGTATTCCATGAATGCTGCAAGTTGTTTGGCATACGAAAGACCAGAACAACGCCACTTCACCCACAGACTGATGGGATGATAGAAAAGTACAATTGGACACTGGGACAAGAATTGGCAAAGTTTTGTAATAGCCGCCAAGATGACTGGGAGGTCTTACTCCCTCCACTGTTATAGAACAGCAGAGCATGAAGCCACTGGATACACTCCAGCAAAGTTGACGTTTGGTCGGGAACTTCTGTTGCCAGTAGATCTGTTAACAGGACGCCCACCTTATGAAGAGTTGCCTGAAAATGTGTCAGAGTTCGTGAAAGTGTTATCTGAAAGGATGGATGATATTCACCATCAAGTGCGCTCAAACTTGAAAACGTCTGCTGATTCTATGAAGTTATCTTATGATAAGAGATCTACTGAAGTCAGCTTTGTACCAGGAGACAAGGTGTAGTTGTATAATCCAAGGAAGACCAAAGGGAAGTCTCCTAAGTTGTCTTCTCCATGGGAAGGCCCATATGACATAGTGGATCGTCTTTTAGACGTGACTTTTCGAATAAAATGTGGTCGGCGAGGTAAGCCAAAGGTAGTGCATGCCAACAGGCTTTGGCGTTATCATGATCCAGGTCATTTCAGTTGGAACAAAGTGAACAACGGAACAAATAATGCTGCTAAAGATGTGTTACCTGAAAAAGCCACTG